GGGATGTGGGGCACACACATACCTACCCTCTAAGCGGACGAGACTAGCAGGATTATATTTTGGGTCACTAAACAGTAGTGGTTACACATTCGTAATACCTAACCAATATGGAATATAATATAATAATATAATTATAATACTCATGGGGAAAAGATATAATACAATAAAAATACAAAAGAGAGTACTTTGATGATTCATTACTGTACCCGATAATAATATATAGTCCGAACCTGCATTTATCAGCTAGTAATAAGTAGTTCGCGATATATTATTACAGAAACTTATTTTAACCAGGCCTTTTATTATTGTATAACATAATGGAGTGAAGTAGGGCGTGTAACACACCCCCCCTCGCGACTGACGGCGGCCATAGAACATGTACAACCTCTGTGGTGGTAGCACTGTCACAGTAGCAAGGTTTGTAACAAAACAGCAGTCCTTACAACATCTCTCCCATCTCCAGCTTCTCCACAACATAGATGTCATAACAGTACCGACTCATACAGTTAAAAATAAAGGAATATTAATAAAATTTCAAGGCCTAGAGAGGGGCATCAGCAATGAGATTTATGTTTGCTTTTATATGGGAAAGAATAATAGAAAGGGTTGAATTCTCACAGCCCAACGAAGTATTCTGGCATTCTTCGATTTCAAAGAATTTAAGAAGGTCAAAGGATTAAGATCGAGTACATACCGATATCTGATGGGTAGAAGATCCTAAATATACATCAAAAATACTCAAGGCTACAACGAGAGCTTAAAAGGGCTTCTTTTTTCTATAGTTATGAATAATTAATTTGGGGTTTCTTTTAACTTAGAAGGAAAAAATAAAAACAGGTTGTAATAGGTCAGAAATTTGGAGGCCTGTCTGTAACAGTCAGTGCGGCTCTCTTTTATTTTTTTTTCCCCCTCAAACATACGCACAGGCATCTATTTGTAAGTGGAATGGTTTTATTAAAATCAGGACTCAGCAATACTGGGGAAGAGGATAGTAATCTTTTTAAACGAATAAAAGCAATTTCACAGTCCTGGTCCATGAAAACTTTGTTTTTTTTGGACTTGTTAATTCAGTTTAGGGGATAAGCTACCTGTGCCAAATTCGGACAGAACCGACGGTAGTAACCGGCAACTCCTTTAAAAAATCTTGATACGTCTTTTCTATCCTTAGGGTAGAAATTCCAAGAGGGCCTTTTACTTTGGCGTTAAAAAGGAGGCGACTTCACCTTGTCCAATCCAAAATCCTAAGTATTTAATTTTCGTTCTGCGGCCAAACTCACAAATGACAACTCACAGTAAAATATGTTTACTTAAGCGTCCAAACAAGGCTTTAAAGCTGTCTAGGTTTGGGATTGCCAACTGTCCTGTAATACGACTAAGTCGTCCTAAGTAATAGCTTCACTCCGTCCAATCCGCCCGTAAGTATGTCATAATACGCTGGAAAACGTAGAGCCGCGTACAGAAGCCGAAGGGCATAACGCAATACTTTGTATAGCCCACCAGTATCGTAAAAAGCCGAATCTCTGGGGAGCTCTTGGAGACAAGCGGGACTTGGTAAACCCTCTAACAAGACGCAATTTACTGATATACTTACCCTGGAGTCCGTTGTCTATTAAGGTCCGTCAATTCTGGGTATTGAAACCCATCAGGTACTGTTACAGCATTGACTTTTCTAAAATCCGTGCACATACGGAGGTCCAACTGGTTTGGGGAGACTAAAATGCACCGGGATCGGCCCCAAGGACTGTTACTTGGTTTTCTCAACCCGTGTGAGAGTAAGAAGTTCACCTCTGCCTCTACTCATCCTTGTTTCTTGGGACTCACTCAGTAGGGAGATTGCTTTGATTGGAGTAGGTTCCTCGATGCAGAGTAACATCGTGCACACCCAACGAACACGGTTATGGACGTCATTGAATAGGTGGAGATTGCCTTTAATCAGGGATTTTTATATCGTGTCCTTTGTCCACTTCCCAGATTTACAGTAAAGAATTTAAATTCATTAAGGCTGTCGAATTGGGTACAAAGAAACTGATTCCTATCAATTTTCCAATCCGAACATACTGGAACCCTTCTTGTTCAGAGGAGTTATAGTCAAACTGGTGAAAACGATTCCTGAATAGGTTAAGTTGGTTAACGTGATACGTCCGTTTGTGAGTTCCTCTTCATCGGCTCCCTTACAAAGTAGTTCACGACATTTAGGCGCTTCACGATTTCAAAAAGGACCTTCAATTTGGGCTGTAAGAGCATGTCCCCTGATGAAATCGTTGAGAAGCAGAAATACTTGATCTTTTGTTCAAATGAACGAAGTTTTAGTTTCGACGATCGTATTCCTCCTCATCTTACTCTGTGCTTGTCAAAGTTTTCGGCGGCCATACTCTACTAGGCCTCAGCGTTCTTTCATTAAGGTAGGAGAGCTCTAAAAGTCGGCGTTTCTTCTTTCTTCCCCGGTCCAAGCTTCTTTGAGACCCCTGTACTGGTCCCTACTAAATTTGATGCCCATATATTTAACTCTAAATGGCGAAAACTTCAAGAGTTGTCTTGTTATCGCTTTCTCATAGGGCAAACAAGATTAGTGGAATACCTTCATCCCAACTTTGGGAATACACTGTTAAACAGCATAGGACCCTCATCATAATCTTCAAATTTGATGGAACCTTTCCACACGCCATGTGATTGGGGGTCGATAGGAGGCCGTCGCGTAAACCGTCTTGGACCCCTAACAGACAAAGGCTTCACGTAAAAATTTTGAAGTAAAAATTCTGACCCTTGATCCGATTAGAACTTCACTTGGAAATTCCAAGTGAGAGAAGACTTAATCAGTGCCTCACTATTAGGCGAGCATTAAATCCTCCCTGAGATGAACTGCTCTGCTTCCGGGTACCTGTGACAGTGTCCATGATAGTTAACAGGAACTGGTTTGCCCAGCCGAGTCTTGGGTAGCGGGGGCCGGACACAGTCCATCACCAACAAGAAAAGGGTTTCGCCTGTTACTTGAATAGGGTACAACGGCGCAGGTGGTGGATATGTGCAGGTTTGCCTACTAGTTGACACAACTGAACAGCTTCTTAACATACCGTTTCCACTTCTTCCTTCATTTTTGGCCATGTGAAGTGCTTAGCAATTTTCAAAAGTCTTCTTTTGTCCCATATGGTCCACCTTGAGAACTGTCATGAGCAAACTTACATGTAAATTTTACTTTACGGGTAGGCAAGACCACTAGATGATCACTTTTAAGAGATCCTAGTTTCTTTTACAGTAAGTCCTTCTCCCAATAAGTAAGAGCTGTCACTTTAAGGCTTTCTTCTCCCCACACAGCAAGCTTCCTGAGTACACTTAAGGAGGGTCTATTCGGAGTTCTCTTACTAAATCCTCCTTCGAGAATAAATCATATCGGAAACCACCGACTTAGGAACTGGTAATCGGTTCTGGTGGATTGTTGCTCTACACCTCGAGCTTTTCGTTTAATATGTCTCTAACTCCTACGTCGACGTCGTCCCATTGACTATCCCTTCCACCGATACCACTGAGGACCGCGACGTTTGGTCATCGCCCCGGTTACTACGCTCAGAGGAAAGAGGGGTAGGTTCCGATCGTCGGGCTTCGATGACGTAATTTTCCTCGGTTGGTTTTCCATAAACTATGGGCTCTTTCCATATTCCCTTCTTCCGCTAAGGAAGACCGTTCCCAATCAATATGTCTACGTCTTTTTTGGGGAAGTTATTTGGAGTACACTTCCGATTGACGTCCACCAGTAAAAAAAGGAGTTATCAACATATAACTTGTACAGGGGTACATCGCGTAGTGAGCACCATAAGCTTTTTCCAACAGAGCGTCGAAACCCTATATGCAATTCTGCGGGAATGAAAACAATCCTATCTCTTAATAAGTTAAGTAGGGGACCCTCGTCCCCCGTATCCCTAAGGAATTCTTCTACATGCAACAACTGGCTATCGTACTTCCTACTTTGCTTTTTGGAAAGTAAGACTCATAGCCCTTGACAATTTGACGATTATACCCATATTCTGCTTATCAACTATAGGATCTATTAAGTTTTCCTGGGAACAGAGCGTCTATCTTTGCTCGGACTATTCTTGGATGAGTCGTAGAGAGGATATAAATTGTGTGGGCCAATCTTATAGGATGACTCCTTCCCCTGGTCCCCTATCCCCACGCTAAAAGCTTGTGATTTGCAATGTCCCCAGCTTGTAACAATACGAACATTTAATTTTTCCTCATGACCTAAATCTGGTCTATAGGGATGGGCTCGATTGAAATTGTGTTTTACTTTCGGGTTTAACTTGATTACACGGGAGTGATCGGGTTGGGTAGTCGCTTACCGAAAGGCTTCGCAAGGTTCCGGGTCTCGTAGCTGGTTTGATAAACCTGGCCTGTCTTCCAGATTGTACCAACCACTGGAAATCTCGAAGTTGTCCTGCCAGCGCGGCAGTCTCTAACAACGTCGTTTGCGGATGGCCAACAAGATACTGGCGAACTCCCTCGGAAAATTTTGCATACAATCTTACTAGTAACATTAATTGTGATATGATCTTTAAAGTCCGTGACCCGAGAAGCTCGACAACACCAACGTTTCAAACGCCACTGCTTTCCCCCCCCCGGGCAAATCTAAATAAGTTTATCCCTGTTTGCCGTTTCATGTGGACGAAAAGCTATTGGTAACTAATATGGGAGCATGTCATAATGCTTCTAAAATGTTCTCTTTACTACTCGTACTGGGACATAAAACTCATAAGGTAAGGAGGCGACACAAACTGCGCCTTCCATATAGAGACGTGTGCAGCAAAGTGGCCCATTTTGGTTCTTTTGGCCCAGCCCATTGAACGTGCCGATTCTCAAAATTTCAAAGAATTCATCTAAGTCTGTGTCGATAAACTTAGTACCATCAGAGCTGCTTTTGCAAGTCAAACCCCGGTTACCGTGTCCTCACGTCTCTTTCTTTTCTTCCTGAACTCCCTTCTGCTTTGTTTACAAAACGAAACCTTTACCTTTCACGCCTAAATTCTCCTCGTTTAGACGTCTTCTAGCTTCGATTAGAGTTGTTGTAATAGTTAAATATTCGTTTCGTATTTTCTCTAGTTGTTCGACGTGAAATTCCCCAGAGGTAAATGACACCGAAGGGATTCGGGCGTCTTCTCCGGAGTATTTTTGGGACGAGCACCAGTCCTTAAAAAATATCTCCGTCATTGACTGAGGGTTCGTTCCAACCATCGATACATACATCCGGGGAAATGAACGGGGGAGCTTTGAGACTGACTGAGTAGTAAGGCCTTGTAAAACCCTGGCCCAACTTTACATTATTTTAAGGCAGTTCCCCGTCCGTGGGATTTCTACTTCCTCGAACAGAGAAATTAAAAACAATCTTCCAAACTAATTCTGGCATTGCTTGGGATTTCGGAATAATCCTATTCCTTAACATAGGGCCTAAGAGTCTCTGCGCTATGGTATCTATTATAAAGGGTAGGTTATAATATCTAACGTCCTAGCTATTTGCCAACACGTCCGGTAATTTTAAAAGTGTCAGAGTAGCCTCTGTTTATTCATCTAATAATGACTTATTCTGGGATCCATTTTCTTAATTCTCGCAAGGGAGCTTAATTTTAATGCAAAACAAATATGTACTTCAGGGTAAGTAGCTCCCGGACCAGGCCCCATTTGTTACGAACTTAATCTTCATCACCTAACAAATCGGGGCACAAATAACTCCATTTTTTTTTGTTATTTAATTATTACCAATCATTTAGCTTCATTGAGTATTTGGTTAGTGAATTAAAATAACCACAAGCAATATAAATGAAACACTAAACAGCAAGTAACCCAATCTTACGTTCAAAATCCCATTAACAGAGTATGATACAATAATTTCAATTAATAATCTACTCTTTTAGAAAGGTCCAGGTTACGAAATAATATCTTTCATAAGGACATGAATTACCAGACTTAAAGGCAAAGCAAGACATGTATTAAGTTTTAGTTTAAGCAGGAGCTTTGGTTGAGACCCGTACCAGTCAGAGCTAGAGAGCTGACTTGACTCACAACAACTACTTCATAGTATGACTTCAGCTCGGCCAGAAGGCGACGCGTGGCGTCCAGTCTCTAGACCCACCAATTGGGTTCACAACAGTATGGTTACAGCATTCGTAATACCTAACCAAATAATAAGATAATATTATAATTATAATAATCATGGGGAAAGAATAATATAAATACAAAATAATACAAAGATAGTACATTTGATGATTCATACTGTAACCGCGATAATAATATATATTCGAAGCACTGCTTTATTAGCTAGTAATAAATAGTTCGCGATATATTATTACAGAACTTATTCATTTAAACCAGGCCTATTATTTTTGTATATATGGAAGTTGAAGTAGGGGCGTGTAAACAAGAGTAGTACGGGAGAACAAGTTAAGCATATGCATAGAAGTTTACAAAGTAGAAGTGATGCAAGGAGGAAAGTAATATGGAGAAAAAGGAGAGATGTTAAGAGAGTGGTGAAGCAATGTAAAACAGAGCAAATTGAGAGAGTGGGAGAGATGTTTATCACAAATTTTGTTGAAAATAAGAACAAGTTTTGGAGTGAATTAACAATAAGAAAGCCTAGAGAAACAAATGGGATTTTCATAAAAACTAGGAGAGAGAGTTATTAAATGGAGAGTTAGAAGTATTGGAATATGGAGGAATATTTTTGAGGAATTGTTAAATGTTGATGAAGATATGGGAAGCTGTGATTTCGTGTATTAGGGCAAGGAGGAATAACATCTTGAAGGAGTGAGGAAACCAGTTGTGAGTGTGGGGAAGTATCGTAGCAGTAGGTTAAAAGAAAGGGGTAAGCCAGCCGGGGATTGATGGGAAAAAGATAGAAATGTTAAAAGCAGAGTGGAGGAAAATAGTAATTGGAGTGGTTGGTCGAATTTTTAAATAATGTATGGAAGAAGGTAAAGTACCAAGGTATTGGTAAAGTGTATGGTAGAGTTTATTATTGAAAGAAACAAGAGTAAGAACGGAGAAAAGGATAGCAGATGAACAAGGAGGCATTAGGAAAGGTAGGGGATGTGTGGACCAGGTGTTTACAGTGAACATGTAAGTGAACAAGTATTAGAAAGGCTAATAGGTCATTGTGGCATTTATGGGAATGTTGGGAAAGGGTGATAGGGGTGTCAATGTGGCAGAAAGTTGCAAGTGTAAATGTGTGTAAGGAAGTAGGGGGGTGGGGGGGGGGGTGGGGGGGGGGGGGGGGGGGGGGGGGGGGGGAGGTACAGAAAGCATAAGAGCTTTTTACGAGGATAATGAGGCTCAATTAGATATGTATTGAAAAGGGAATTATTTTTCCCATAAAGTAGGCCTTAGACAAGGAAATGTGATTCACCGTGGTTGTTTAATATATATATAGATGGGGTTTGTAAGAGAAGTAAAATACGAGGGTCATGGCAAGAGGCGTGGAGATAACAAGATAAGAATCACACATTAAGAGTGGAGTTTCACGTTTGCTCTTATGCCTGAATAACACTGTGCTCTTGGGAGATTCATGAAGAGAAGCTGCAGGGAGATGTGGTGGATGAATTTGGTAGGGTGTGCAAAAGAAGACAATTAAAATTGAAAACAGGAAAGATTAAGGAAAAGAGGATCACAAAAAGATTAGGTGATGAAAAGATTGGATATCAGAATGGAGGAGAGATATGTGAGTAGTGGACGTGTCCCAGCGGATGGTCTATGAAGATGAGGTGATTCATAGAATTGATGAGGGAAAAAGAGTGAGCGTGCACTTAGGAGTGTGAGGAGACAAAGAACTTTGTCCTTGGAGGCAAAGAGGTGAATGTAGAAGAATAGTTTTAAAATAAAAAACCACTGCTTCTTATATGGATGTAAAGCAAGTGTGAGGATATGTTTGCAGCGAGGAGAAGGCTGATAGTAGGCATTGGGAGATGTACATGTCTGAGGGCAATGTGTGGCTGTGAATATAATTCAGAAGAATTCGTGTATTGCGAGAAGATAGAGGTAGTGCGGGATTTCCCAAAAACTGTTTGTCCAGAGGCTGAGGAAGTGTTGTCTTGAGGTGGTTCGGACAGTAAGAAGAATGGAGCGAGACGAGAATGACTTCAAGAGTGTATCAGTCTGTAGTAGAAAAGAAAGGCGGGGTAGGGGAGACCGCGCCTAGGAAAGGTTGGAGAGGAGGGGGATAAAGGAGTTTTCGTGTTCGAGGTGTGCTTGGACTTTGCCAGCAGGCATGCGGCAGACGAGTTTGATAGGAGTGAATGGAGACAATGGAATTTAATACATGACGTGCGTTGGAGTGTTTGAGACATCAGGGAATCAAGAACGCACCAACAAACTTCCATAACATTTTCTTAAAATGAAACACACTGCTGTTACAACGTGTTAGTGGCATTGTTTTGCCATAAGATCTGAAATTTCTCTCACAAACTGGCCTCATAATTCAAATCACACTTGACAAATAATTGCAATTTTTTTTCTAGATTACAAAAAGTTATCATAAAATGTTAAAAATCACTTATTTTTTTTTTGTGAAAATTTTTACTCAAGGAGTAACTTATCGTGTCTTGAATGGAGTGGGAGGGATGCGGGAATAGGTGGGGGTTCCCACGTATATTGAAAGTATTTTATTGGGGGGTGGGCTGGGGTGGGTCGGGATGGCGGGGGGTGGTGAGAGGAGAGATAACTGCACGAATGCCTATGCACAGACAATAATTCATCAGTTTTAGTTTTACCTGCTTTTCGCTTTAACCTCATAAAAGGCCGTAACGTTCCCATGCATTAGCAATGTAATAGTTATTCTGGTGCAGGCACAAAAATATGAGCATTAAGGAAAATGGATTAAGACCTTAACGAGAAATTATACTGTTCCCTACCTCATCACTGTAACAACTGACTATATTGCAATTGAGGGTTTTCATTTCTTTCCCAAATATGCTAAACAATAAGCCTATAGGGACGTAGAAACAGCGTAAAAGATTCAGATAATCCAACGTCGAGGCACTGGTAGACAAACGCACTAGGAATGTGTGGAAGGTCCCCTCCCCAATTTTACTACCTTTTTATTAATCCATAAATAAATGATATAGTACTCTTACAACTCACTGGAAGAACAACGATCTAACACAAAGGGCCTGACAGGTTTTAACGAAGCCTTAACAATAAATTTAAGTTTTAATCAGCCAGTTGATCATCGAGAAGATGTATGCGTAGAATCAGAGCATTTTAAGACAGATCCAGAGAATTTGGGAAAAGTGAAGTTTTAAGATTATGTTACAGTAATCTCTCATCATAGGTTAGGGTTACTTCTCGTTGTTTTATAACTGCTAATTCTAATTTATTATCTTTCCAGCCAAGATGAACTAAGAAACAATAATTCCGGCCTCAGACCATTTTGTAGGGTTTTTTACATACATATGTAATGTAAATGTTGAATTATCTTGTGCTGTTCAATCGAGCATTGTTTTGTGCTAGCCTAACATCAAGGGTTTTTACACGTCTGTCCAACTGCTACATCCCGTCCTACAAAGTATTTTTTTGCGAATTCTTAATCAATATGCTATTAATCAACCTTTAAATTCTATGAAGACTACTTGTATGTCGATCCATTTGAGAGCATCTATGCAAAGCAGATACATTCTCATTGTAAGGGAGAACTGAACTTCCTTAACCTAGGGTCATTCAAGGTTCTGTCTGTAACAAATTCATCCTAGTTTATATCAAAGCCATTATCTACACACTCCCTTAGCGGGTTGGCTAGTTTTTCGCCGCAATATCAAAGATTTTTTTTACCTTCCTCATCGAGAAACTTGGGGCTGCGAACTCGCAAGGCTCCTCAGAACAGACATTGGTGGTCATTATATATATAACGGTGAAAAACGTGAATTTGAGATACTATCAACACGGTGGAACAAAAATCCAGGAAGGGGAGTTTGCAACCACTGCTTTTTCCACTAGTGAACTGAATTTAATAGATGGGACAAGTGAGTTGGAGCATATATATATATATATATAAATAAATATTATAGTATATATATATAAAAATATATATATATAATATATGGGTGTGAAGCATGGGGATGAATATGCAGAGCGAGGAATGAAAGGCTGAGGCAGTGAGATGTCATGTCTGCGGCAATGTGTGGTGTGAATATAATGCAGAGAATTCGTAGTTTGGAAGTTAGGAG